CCATGTGCAGGTCAGACATCAATAATCCACCATGGAACATTCTCTCAACAGACCACAACGCTCCAGGCTGCTGGCCTGGCCACAGCTACAAGCCATCAAAGACGGCACCCGAAGTAAAACCATTTGCTATCATGAGTCCCACTACGGGAGTGAGTCTGTAATGGTGGCAGTTGGGCACACGGTGATGAGCTTGTGGAGGAGACTAGGCTGCACCCTCCGAGCCCTACTCGACTTTTATGCAACGAGCTGCCTGCTGCCGGGGAGTGACCAGGACATCTCCTTGTCCCGGCAGGGACCCTGTCCACCTGGCGGCAGCAGCCTTGGACTCACCAGGGGAAGTTCCCACTCCCTCGTCAGAGCCCACAACCCTGGTACCAGCTTCACACCACACAAATGCTTCCCTCCCCCACCCCCTGCAAATTGGAAATAGTGATACACAGCCACCTCCCAGGGCTGTTGGGCAATTTAATTAATGTTTATAAAGCACTCTGAGGTCTTCGGATGAAAACTGCTGTGTAAGTGCAAAATTATTATTAGTTCTCAGCCTCCTGTCCCTTGACTTCTGACACGGGCCTTTGTTATTCCTGAATGGAGCTGTTTATGGGCCGTCCAGCTGGCTCTGGGGGCACAGGCAAGAGCATAACATTTGCAGAATTTTCCCCCCTTTGAAAAAAGCATTCCAGCTCTGTGGGACGTCTCAAAGCTTTTCAATGTCTGAATTTCTCTCTCCTTGTCTGTACTAAGTACTGTAATCTGCAAGAGTAGATTGTAAACAGGCTACTTTGGCAAAGAGTGTGGGGGGAAATGGTCAATTTGATGAAATAGCCCCTCTGATAATGAAGAAAAAAACAATATCTCCTTCTCATGCAGAATCTAAATGAACCACTAAGTGAGGACTGTCTCTCTGGCCCAGAGGGATATTGTACATGTTTATGCATTGAAAGGAGAAAAGAATAGAAGATTTGCTTTTAGTGCCTGAGGTTCGCCTCTCTCCTTCACCCTAACTTCTCAGGAACCATGGAAACAAATAGACCCAGCCTAGACGATGTTTTCCTGATAGTCCTTTGTTACCTAACTGTGCACTGCCTGGAATCCCAGGGGGAGAATGAAATAAAGAAGTGGAAAAGAAAAGAGATCCCTTTGCAAGAGGAAGGCCTTGTCTCTGAAGGACAGAGTGGGGCCGGGTAGTTTATCAAGCACTGGGCAGCGTGCCTCTGCAGCAGTGTTCTCCTTTCTCCAGGATGTGCAACCTGTGGTGCAGCCGGAAGGTGTCTCTTGGTTGTTAGCAGGATTTGCCAGTCACCCAACTGCTGCAAGGTTGTTTTTTAAATATCACTAAGAAGCAATTACATAACACGTAATCGGCTGGACAATACTACCAAGGCTCAGAACCAAGGAAAAAATTCAATGTTAGTTATAGGGTTGTACCTATGTACACAAAAAAACCCCAAAGATGGTGCCTGCCACGTTTCCTAAGCCAAGTAATCACTGGTCAAATACAATCCTTTCATGGCTTGGATATGAGGTGTCCCCCAAAAGCTCACATGTGAGTTAATGCAAGAAGGTTTAGGGAGAAATGATTGGGTTATAAGAGTCTTAACCCAATCAGTGAGTAATTCCCCTGATAAGGATTAACTGGATGGTAAATGAGGTGGTAAGGTATGGCTGGAGGAGGTGGGCGTTGGGGGGCATGGCTTTGGGGCATATATTGGTATTCGGCAAGTGGAGTGTCTCTCTCTGCTTCCTGATCACCAAGTGAGCTGCTTCCCCCTGCCACACCTGTCCGCCATGATGTTCTGCTTCACTTCAGGCCCCAAGGAATGGAGCAGCTGTCTATGGAGTGAGACCTCTGAAACTGTGGACCCTCAAGCAAACCTGCCCTCCTCTAAAATTGTGCTGGTCGGGTATTTTAGTCGTGGCAGTGAAAAAGCTGACTAAAAAAATTGTACTTGGGGGACATCGGGAGTGTTCTTCTAGGACTGGAGAGTTGAAGAGAAGAGACAGCCTCCAGGAGGAGCCGTCCTTGGGCCCAGCAGTGGCGGTCTCTTGGTTCTATAACAGCTGGAAACACGGGGACCTTTCCTGTGCCCTATGACTCAGTTCTGCCTGATGGAGAGAGGTTAAGACAGAAGGGACCAGGTCTTTCTGTTCATCTGGTCACTTTTAAGGGAAAGGAGACCTTAATGACTGTTCTTAAAGGGCTGAAGTCCAACACCAAGGCTGCCAACGTCTGTCTGCACAGCAGCTGGGCTGATGAGAGGACGCCACAGCGGAGGAGCCAGCCGGTCGCCATCTCTTCCTCGGCGCTTCTTGGGGCTGTCAGTCTCCCCGGAGGTCTTCCGGCCTCCCACCTCCTCCAGCTCTTTGTTCATCCCTTTACTTTGTTTTCCTGGTTATTTTCCCCAAATTGAATCTAATGTGACAGCGCACAGCTCAGGGTCCTCAATGCTGCCCCACACAAACCCTCTGTGCTAAGAGCCATCTCTCAATGCTGCCCCCCTGCTGCAGCTGGACGGGGTGCTCTCTGCCTCCAGACTCTCAGGCAGCCCCCGTCCAGCCTCCCTTCCACTTCCTTGCCCTGAAGACTCTGCCCTCGTCACACCTGCCGCCCTTCTCTACCCCTTCCCTTCAAAATCCTGCTTCTCCTCCACATTCAAACGCAGTCAGCTCTGCAGAGCCTTCTAAGATATTCCCAGAAATTCTGTGGGTGTGTTCCCCCTATCCTTTCTATACGTCTCTAATATCAAGTAAAACAATTAACCGTGCACACAGCACTGAGCTCGTTTCTCCTTTTACTGATTTTAAGCTCTGTGAAAGGAAGGATGGATCCTTGCCTTTTTAAGTATGGCAGTGTCTACAAGAGCCTCTTGCCTAAGGTGAGTATATTTATATTTAAACATAGCCAATATGTTTACATTTAATTTTGCCCAACAACACACACACACACACACAAACATACACACACACACACACCGAAAGATCAGGTGGTGAAATTTTTAATTTCGTATATAATTTAAAGGTAAAAATTAGGAAATAAGCACATCTTGAGAGGACAACAAAAAATAATCGACTCTCCAAGAAGAGCTCGCAGATTGAATCTTACCCACCAGTTAGATCAAGTCTGGCTCAGCAAATAATCACAAAGCTATGGTGGGTGAATGCTAGTGAATTAAGCAAAGAGTTCCTAAGATTTTGAGGCCTTTGGCTATTTTTACATAGGAGCGATAAAGCATCAAACAATTATTCAGTTAATGCAACCAAATAAAGCTGCCAAAGAGGAAAGACTGAATTATTCTGAGATCCTCCAAATTATTCCGAGACCTCTGTTGTGGGGTCAATCCGTGGCGTCACTTGCTGTTTCTATGACCACAGGCTGAGACCCCAGCCAATAACCGGGCTGAGTTGGATTCTGGGAGCGTGGCTCAGTCTTTTCTGCTAAGTGTTACTAAGAATACAAAACCCCGCAGGTTATCATTTGGAAGAATGTGAAGCAGATTTTCATGCCTGCTTGTGTGTCTTGGGAAATCCCGAGACGAAATATCATAACTGCAGAAGGAATCCCACAGGCAAAGGAAGCCCAGAGATCAAAGCTTTCCCTGACAGGAAGACAAAGACTACATATGGTCCCCATCAGCCACAACGCTCTCCCAGATCTTGACCGGATCCAACGAGGCAGCAGAAGACCAATCCACTCTCCTTGATAAAGAAGGGCCCTCCTAGCCCTTCTCCCCGCCTCCTCCCTTTCACACACATGTTCCTGCACGCACGCGAGCACACACACATTTTCTTACACCAAATACTAGGTGTGAAATGTTGAAACCACCTACTCTTAAATCTCTATTTATTTATTGGTACTGGGGATTAAACCTGGGGGTGGGGGAGCTTTAACCACTGAGCCACATCCCCAACCCCTTTTATATTTTTTGTTTTAATATGGGGTTTCCATAAACTGGTTGGGGCCTCACTAAGTTGCTGAGGCTGGTTTCGAACTTGTGATCCTCCTGCCTCAGCCTCCTGAGCTGCTGGGATCACAGGTGTGCACTACCACACCTGGCACTACTCTTGAATCTTGATCATGTTCCTACTTTAAGTCAGTCCAAACTGACCAGGGGAGCCGACATGCCATGCAGAATTCAGTTCACCACTTACTGGTTCTTCTGAGGGCAACATGAACCACACACCACGTCAATTTGTTCCTTTTAACAAAATGTATTTGTGGAAAATCCCCGGTTGCTGCATTTCCTTGACTCTGTCTCCTCTCTCATCCGGGCATCGTTCAGGGCTTAACTATTTTGCTGGACTTTAGGCTCAGCCCTTCCGTGTTATCTCATTTAATTTTCACAAGACACTTATTAGGCAGATGCTGTTCTCATTCTAAAGATCTTCCACCTGAGGCTCTGAGAAGTAAGTCGCCTGTCCACACCAGCGCAACTCCAGGTGGATAAGAGTTGCTCTGAGTTCTGAATTACCATGCCAAGTGGTTTCCCCAGTACTTCTGGTGAAGTATTTGAGGATGGAGTTGCTGCCATTGAACAGAAACCTCCAGCTTTTACAGGTACATGTATGTATTCATCTTTGTAAAGAGCCACACATCTATGACACTTCCATAACTACTACAACCACTTGTAGATTGCTTTTAACATTTTAGGGGTAAAGGACCTATTCAAAGATCTAGAGTCAAACCCCATGAAACCCAGGTTCAAGGGCCCTGACTTCACATATCACCCTCCCCCTTTCTTTCCATCCCTACTCCCATGGTCAGGCAGGTGGGTAAGGGACTGCATCCTAACTGGTAGCCATGCAGCTCAGGATGGGTCTGGAGACTCTTTGCCCACCTGCCAGGTGGGCCCTCCCTCCTGGGGAAGAATGCACCTGTCAATCTTTCACCTCCATAACTTCATCTTGGATTCTGGTTCTCCACCTAGTTCATGGACATCCTAGCACCCATTCCCAGGCTTCTGGGTAGTTTTAAATTTAAAAAAAAAGAAAAGCACTCCCTATTCACATGCAGACCTTTAATAACACGAAAGAGACGACACAGAGTTTCAAATACTAAATCACCTTGGCACTTTCCATATTAGTGTGAGTGACATACACATTACTAAAGGAACAACGTGTCTTTGGAAAGCAAGCAGGGATGGGGCCGAGTTTGTTAAGAGAAAGTCAACAGATGCCCAAACACTGTTGGGACATTCTGTGAACTTCTTCTGGCCAGGGCCAGCAACTCCCAACGTCCACACCTTGACTGGTGGTGCACAAACAGGACGCTGAACTGGTCTCCTTACTTCCCCAAGAGGAGGAATCCATACAGAAGGATCTGGGAATGTCCTCTCTGTAGCCTTCTCTGTTTGGGATGATGGAAAACGTGAGAACTTAAAGGCTTCCTCTCGCCCTCAGAACCCCACAGCCAGAGCAAGGACAATGACCCAGTGGGAGGGTGGAATCTATGCAGAGCTTCATGCTTTTTTGAAGCATTTCGCACACATTGTTCTAGTCAGTCCATGCAGCAGCCTGAGGAAGAAGAATCCATCAGGAACTTGCCCAGGACCACATGGCTGGGTACTGGGATCACGGAGGCTGGAAAGCAGATGGCAGGTTGGTCCAGCATCTCCAGCAGGTCACTGAACATCTGTCCCATGGTCACCTACTCTGACTTCTCTCTCTCCACATTCGGGTTACTGGTCAGTTAGCAATTCAGTTAACAAGATATTGATTTCAAAAGAAGAAAAACACAAATTCTTCTTTGACAACTATATATAGATATAAAAATAAATGTGGCACTCTTTATTGCTTCTTTATGGATGTCTTTCCAAGATGAAAAGACCCTGCTGGGGAACAATTCCTCCACCTTTTATTTCTATGTGCACATAATCCTCCTTAGTAATAGCAGAGCCTTCACACTGGGAAATTATTTGCTAGATATTTCTCACTGCTTCGTAGCTTGGCCTGTGGATTTCTCCCAGATGTAAGACATGTGGGCTGCTGTAACAGAACACAGCGAATTCAAAGAGATGTTTCCCAGATGTGGAAGAGGACAGCTGTCCTCAGCAGTCTGTCACAGGGCCAGCTTTGGGCACTCAATTTTCCCGAGACCCTTTTCCACTGCATCTCACCATAGCTTTTATATGACTGAAAAAATATCCAGGAGGTTGACCAGATAGCTGCATAAAACACCAAGATGGTAGCCATGGAAAAGTAGAGATGGCCCCATGCTACATGATCATGGAATGGTTTTCGAGACTTTGCCAGCAGAAAGTGGGGTGGGATCCACTCTCAGATGTCTTCAGGCAGGTGAAGGACTTCACAGCAAGGATGCCATCTCCAGCGTGGGGCTCATTCTGCTCTGCTCCGGTCTGGCATCTGGCATGCCACTGAGTCCTCAACATGAGCAAAGACAGTAGAGATCCTGCTCACACCACTTCCGTCTTGTGAAGAATCACTGGTCCCACGTGCTTATTTGGGGAGGTGACTGGGAGAAATGCTCGTTCCATGCCAGGTTTAGAAAAATCTGGAAAAATACTCTGTAGTCGTGCAAACTTCTGAAAAAGAGTGAAACAAAAGAAACAAGTCAAGAAGCGAACAGCTGGGGAGATGCTGCCGTTGTCAACTCTATTTAAATGCCATTCCCTCAGCACTGGCTGGACAACCCACGCAGGAAGCCCTCTTCATGCTGGTCACCTCACTCCCTGTACAAGGCACTTGCGCAATTTCTCTGCTGCTTCCAAACGCCAGCCAGAGATTGGCTGACTAGGGATGGCAGCCCTTTCAAGCCTCTAATGTGAGAGATCTGTATGGAGAGTTGGTGTGGAGGGAAGGGGCCAACAAGAACCAAAGTCGCTCATTTTACAAATGGACCGATTGGTAATTCTAATTATCTTCTTATATGCAAATAACCCTGACAACCAAAATGGAAGCTCCTTGGGGCAGGAACAATGTTTGACACCTTTGTAAACCCCAAAGAGTTCCTGGCATAGAACCTTGAGTACAGTAGGTTCTCATGAGAGTCTTTTGTTGTTGTAGTAGTTGTTGTTGTTTTGCAAACATATTCTTCCTATTTAAAAATATTGGGGGCTGAGGGTGAACTCAGTGGTTCAGGGCTTGCCCAGCATGCACAAGGCCCTGGGTTTGATTCCTGACACTGTAAAGCACAAAAACCCTTTTCACTTTAAGAATTTTTGTTTATATTCATCAATAGAAATCACTGAGAAACTGATGCATCCAGAAAAATCCTGGTCCATTATGTAATGACTCAGTACCAAATCATGAGTATCATGAAAGTATAGTCCCTCATGTTTTGCTGTGGTTATGAAAGACGAGTATTTCATCTTGTTGTAAGATATTTTTTTTGTTATTTTTAAGTTTTTGATTCCCATACAATAATTGTATCTATCTGTGGGGTGCAATGGGGTATTTGTTGATTGACTAATATCTAAAAATAGAAATCAGAGCTGAGTGCAGAGCCAGAGAGTGCATACAAGGTACAGTGGGTGACAAGAACCAGCTCTGGGGTAGCTCCTGCGTAATTCTGTCCTGCCCCTAGCTAGACTGCCCTTCCTGGTGGGATGGATCACTTTCCAGTGGGTCAGGGCCACAGCTGGCCCTGCTCCCCGACAACCATGGTCAGCCCAGGTGAGCAGCCGTGCAGAAAGAGGCTGGGGGTGGGGTAAGCTGGAGTCTGTGACCAGCAGCTCAAGGTCACGGCCAGGATGCCCAAGCACTGCCACACCAGGGGACTTCCTGTGTGCCCCCATGTTCTCAGGTTAATTCTCCAGGAGGGAGTGAAAATACCAAATATATAGAGGAAGAGTCCCCAAGAGAAAACCAACCAGGGCCAGCGAGGGGACAGGTCCACCCTGAGTGCTGGGCTTGCTCCCTCCTCGCGGAAGAACAGGCCTCCGCCCGGGATGTGGTCGCAAGGCAATTTCACCACCCCGACTAGGAGGCGCCAGGGGGTCAGCAGGTTCTGCTGGTGTTTCTCAAACTTCCTCCACGTGCTTTCCAGAGTTCCCTGGGTGTGGCCACATGACCCAAACAAGGTGGACGACCAGGGGCCTCTGAAGTGCGGGGTTCAGAGAAGGATCTGGCTCCCCATTATGGAGTGAGTCACACTATCTACAAAACATCCCGGGGTTGGTGCCCCGGGGAATGTCTTCATGGTCAGCGATGATGACACAGATACTCACGCAAGTGAAGATGATGAGTGTCAAATAGAAAATGACCAGAGAGAGGAGGAGGACGATCTCAGCTCTGTATTTATGAAAGGTTGCTTCCTTAGGCTCCTTAGGGCATCCTTAAAAATAAATCAGAAAATAAGAAGGGGTAAGTGGAGCCTTTCCAACAGGGCTTTTCTACCACGATAAAAAGCTGAGGATGCTTCCTTCTCCCTTCCTCGCCCAACTCTCCCAGTCCTACCCTTGCTGTCAGGAAAAACCATAGTGATGGTTGTGGCAATGCAGCGCTCACAGCCACCCTGAGCCACCTGCGGGTGACAGGCTGTGCAGACAGGGTCTCCCGTCTTCAGGGCCCATCTGAGTATGCCGGTACTACAGATAAAGCAGCCGGGGCTCAGGACTGAAGAAAGTCTGCTCCGGGTTTATCCTGCCTGCAATTCAGAGGTGGGGCCAGGCCTGGCTCTTGTCTTCACATCAGAGAAACCACCCTAAGTGTGTGACTCCATCAGCAACCTTAGCTGCTTCAGGTCAGGTAGATTGCTAAGCGTCCCCACCGCAGGGGGACTGGGAACTCTGCAATGAGGTGGGCGAGCTGCCCTGCTATTGCCCAGGTGAACACATTTTGGTAGAACTGAGCTCTCCCACCAAGCCGGGCAGAAAAGGTGGAGAGAAGGGCTCCCTCGAGATGGTAAGGCCAAGGCTGCAGCTTGAAGGAGGCCAAGGACCGAGGCTGCAGGCCCCTGCCCTAGAGCAGCCAGGAGGCGCAGGCTCCTCCCCCCAGGTGCAGGCTCCTCCCCCCAGGCACAATAGCCAATGTGCCAAGCAGGAAAACAAGTCTGGCACAGGCTGCGGGGTGGCTGCTGAGACAAGCTACTTAGAACCCGAGCAGGAGCGGGCACTTTGTGGTGCCCAACACAGATCAGGCTACCCCAGGCAGTGCCATAAGCATTTTAAAGCGATGTCTCATTTAACCTTAGCAACAAGCCTATGTCCTAGACATCACTGCCCCCATTTCAGAGATGAGAGAACTAAGGCTTCCTGTAGAGCAATGGAGTGCCCAAGGCCACAGGCTAATGAGCTTCAGAGGTAACAGCTGAACCAGATCTAAATGATTCCAGTCTGACCCCTTAACTCCTAGGCAGCACATCCTCGGGAAGAAGCAGTGGAGGAAATGTGCTGCGCTCTGTTCGGCCCCTCTCCACTCCTACCCGTCTCTGCTCTCCCCTGCAAGATTGCTTTCCCTGTGAATAATATTAATTGAGATCCTACTGTATGCGGGCCAAAGCAAGCTCTCTTAGGGGAGACAGGCAGTAAACCAAACCATACACAGCATGTAGGGTGTAAAAACCAACCAGAATACAGGCTGGAGACGGAGAAGTGTGTAAGAGATGTGCGTGTGTTCGTGCACGTGGGTATGACAGCGAGAAAGTGCAACCACTGCCCCTTTAGACAGCACTGTGTTCTTGCGAGCGTAGGAGTACCGTCTGGACTCTGATGGCTTTCAGATAACTGACATAAGCTACTGTACACAATCAGGGACTCTAGGACACATTTATCATTTCCGGCCTTAACCTCCTAACAAGTGCTGGGCAGAAGTCACTGTGTCGATTAAGGCACATTCCTGCGTAGAATTCAGCCGCCAGCCCCAGATGGGATCAGAGCCTCAGAGCTAGACTCTGAAAGAGAGGATCGACTTCCGGACCCACAGAAAGGGCATGCATGTGTTTTGCAAGAGGCAAACAAGTCCAACAGGTCACCTCACCTGTCACTTTCAAAATCACGGTGGCGCTGACGTTTCTCTGCCCTCCCAGCTCCTGCAGAGTGCACCTGTATGTCCCCGAGTTGCATGTGGCAGTGTTTTTGATCTTCAGGGAATAGGGACTGTCCACGGGAGCCTCGGAAGAGTCGTTCTGTCCCCTCTGACCATGGTTCGGGTCCTCCTGAAGCGTGTCCGGTGTCTCCTCACTGCCCTGAGGGAGCTGTGGAGAAACCACGACAGCTCATCACACTCTGTCATCCAAACCTGCGAGCGCTGGAGCCCGCATTGAGGTTTTCCATCTTGTTTTCATAAAACTCATCCAAAACTCATGTTTCTAAAGCAAGAAAGATCTGTTGCTTTTTTCGTACGTGTGAATTCTGGGGGAGGAGGAAAGAGCTGATAAAAACTTGCGAGGGCTCTATTTTCCTTGGAATAAGATCAGGTCTGCATTTTATGATTTCAGCACCAGGATCCCAACTTCCACCCTATGGAAGGGAGAGTGTCACTGAGGATGGTGGTGACAGGTCGGACATGACTCACTTTGGATTCAATTTTGCTGCTGTTGGTTCTACAAGAAATGTTCTCTTGTTTTCTGCAGAAACCAACTTGCCCCCAGATGGGTTCTTGGTTTTGGATCCCAGTCTTTTATTTGGAAAAGTCCCCAAGTCTCTTAAGAGCAAAATCAGACAACTGCAAACAGGGTGCAGGGAAACAAGGCCGCCCGTCACCAGCCGCCTCCCGGGGCCGTTCTTCTCCACCCAGGGGGAGAGGACGACAGGTGGACAGAGGGCCACAGAGATGGCACGGTCAGTTCCTCAGGTGGTCACCGTAAGCCACGTGTGGAAGGGCCGTCACAGCACCACAGACCAGAAAAGGAATCTGGCTGTTTTTTCTCTTCCTAAATTATCCTTGTGACTCGACTGGTCGGTGTTGCCAGCATGTCCTACTTCAAAGATGTGACACACGGCCCATTCGCCGTCCTACCCAGACATCATTTCATTTTCCAGTTGCTATATCCCTGAAATTTTAACGCTTCTAGGATGGTTTTGCACCAACAGTGAGGCAAATCGTTGTTTTGAGTCTCGGGGACATGCTTCAATGGGAGCATCCCCGAGCAGCCCCCGCGTGCCCTTCGCTGCTTGGCTGGGGACCTGCGGGGGCCCTGGATTAAATGGCGTCCCTTACCTGTCCCTAGCATTGCAACAGCACCCAGGAGCTGCCTTAGGGAAAGAGACAAATGAGCAGGCCTCACTACCACTGTCCTGGCCAGCACCTGGGGCGGGGGGTCAACCTCCTGTTTCGGGAGCATTCTTTCTGCAGTGCTGCTGTTCTAGAACGGACTCAGGGCAGGGAAACAGATGACCAAGGTGTTAGGGGAGCAGCCTGTGAAGGAAACTTGATACCCGCGCCTGCGTGCGCACATACATACGCACACCCTGTTCCTGCTTGGCTTATTAAGTTAGGGACTGCACGGCAGGCCACCCACAGCTCAGGTACCAACCTTTGGTGCCGGCTGCCATTGGGTAGAGTGGACTACAGAGACATCTGGTGGCAGATTTATCACTCACTCCCCGCACCAGGCTGAGACAAATGGCCCTGCCCAGGGTGAGTCTGTGGACATAAATCCCATTTCTTGATGGTCTTTCTTGTGCTTAAAGGCTCCTTCCTAAATAATCAAGAAAAAGACTCAGGCCTTTGGACATTCAAAAATAAGGCCGTAAAAGGAAAGGTGGCCAGGGAAGCTGGGAGGGAATGAAGAGCATCCAGGTGATTCTAAAACATGCTGGAATTAGCACAAGGTTTCCAAGTCCAACTGAACCACAGAGTCAGGGGCCTGGCTAGTCAACAACCCTCCTCTCCCCTCTGCTGCCCAGCAAAGCAGCTTCCTCCTATCAGGGTGGCCATGAAAAACCATCTGTGCCCAGCTGCCCTCAAGGCCAATCTGAGCTCATTAAGCCACCCCAGACTGCACCCTCTCAGGGACACAGCATCCTGCTTCTCTTTGCTGAATCAACCTCCAAACACAAACGTGGCTGCAATGACCATTTGGAGATGAACTACCTCTGGTCTTCTCCTGGGGACTTCCTCTCCCATCCAGGGACCCCTCCCTCAACTCAGAAAGAACCCCCTCCCCCAGCCCCCAAGTCAAGATCAAAACCCACAAAGCTCCCTGCAGCTGGTGGAAGCATGAACAGTGGTCCCTATTTACATAAAGAGGCCCCACAATTGAGCCAGGTGTGGGAACCCCCTGCAGTAGCCTCCTATCAATTGCAGAGGAGAATTCACTCTAAAAATGGGCAGCAGCAACAACAAAATGTTGTCAATAGTAAGATTTGATGGTAAGATTTCCAGGTGCCTCTGGCAAAGCCTATAGTTATGTTCAAACCGCAACACAAAGGCAGGGTGAGACCACAGGAGGACAAAAAGAACACTCCTCGGCATGTCCATAGCCAGCACTCTTGCTTTTTGGAGCCATAATTAAAATAAGGGTTACCTGAACCCAAGAACCATGAGAGGCTGAAAGTTGGTCTGATAACTGAGATGGCTACTATGTGACTAACAGGCAGGTAGTGTATATAGCATGGATACGCTGAACAAAGGGATGATTCATGTCCTGGATGGGACAAAGTCAAAAGTGTGAGATGTAGCTTTTATGTTATTGTTCCACGCTCAAAGCAAAGAGGGCAGCAGGGTTATCGTGGAAGTTCTTACGCAAAAGTTGAAATGATTCTCTACAGACATGTGTCCAAGCACACGTGGCTCTTCCTTGTCTGAAGAGTTAGCTGGGGCAGAAGCAGACTGAGGACTGAAGGAGAAATTCCAGTGGGAGGAGAGCAGAGGAACAGCAAATGGATCCTCAACTTTGCTTTGTTTTATGAGTTCTTATAAACACTGGAGCTGGCTCCAAAGCAGCCACTGGCAAGAAACACTCTTTAAACATTCCAAATCTCAAAGTGTTTCATTGCTTCTCTGCTAAAGCATTTAGGAAATAGTAATTCATAACAAAAGGAACCCTCAGATTCATTCACAGCCAAGCATAATTGCCGGCAACTATTTAATGCACATTTCACAATGCTAATATTGTAGCAAGCGTGCTCAAGCACAACACAATTTGGACAAATTAATTCCTCAAAACATTCATTCCAACGATGTTTTAAGAAATCCACACTCTGTGCATTAATTTTTATGCTGACAATTTTTTTTTGTGCTGAATTAAATAAGAGCAAACTATGGGCTATCTCTTTTACAGAAAGCCTCAGGACTCTGATTTGTCTCAAGGTCCCCACTTTGACTGAATAGCCTAAATACCATATCTTTTTATGCAAGAGAGATTTGAACTTAAGGAAACCACAAGCCCTAAATTAAAATAAACTCTCTTTAGTTTGCTGAATACTATGTCAAGCAAATACACATACTGATTTTAAGGGCATGTGAATTAAGTCTTGTGTGTGTGTGTGATGGATAAATTTGAATTAGAACAAAAACTAAAATACATGCATATGGCTGAACTTGAACCAGCATTTCAGCCAAAAACTATTGTAACAAATGCCCTGTTACAAAAGTTTACATAATTTTATCCAAATACATGCTCACGTCCTAGAGATTACCATATTTCAATGGACCAGAGGGCAAGAGTTCCATTCCAACAGCAATGAAAGGGTTTGATCCTAAACCAAAATCCAACTTTATCATTCATTAGCTCTTACAATGTGATAGAGGGGCTGCAGTTGTGGCTCAGTGGTGGAACACCTTGCCTAGCACGTGGGAGGCACTAGGTTCGATCTTCAGCACCACATTATAAAGATAAATAAAATAAAGGTATTGTGTCCATCTATTAAAAAAAATTAAAATGTGATAGAAGCCTAAGAGAAAAGGAAGAAATCTTTTTTTGAGGGGGAAAATATGTATAAATAAATATGTATAAAAAAATATGTACAAATAAATATTTCATCTACTTGATCAAACATATTTAAACGTAGAGACTAAGCATTTAAAGGTGACATTAAATTAATCTGCTGTATTCCAACCACATTGGAGCAGCTTTTTTTTAATTGCATTTTGTGTGCACTAACATTCATGTACCTTGGTTTCTAACTCAATTAAAGTGCCAATATAATCCCCATTCATCACAGAAACAGCTTTTTATAACGTGCAAAAGAGTTTGGCTCGGAGGTTGATGTCGTAATGAGGGGAGAATGTATGAGCATTAACATCGTTTTCTTCTAAGTGTAGTTTTATTAGAAAAATGATTTTCCTCTTTGAAATTTACTGGGTCTAACAGACAAGAGCTGGATTTATGGCTGTTAACGAGAGTTACGAGCACAGCAGAGACGGCATAATTAAAAGCACAGTCCTTGGAGTTGGGACAGAACTGGAAGCAAACCCCACGCCTGCCACAGCTCCTTCTGCTCTGGGCCAAGGGTCCACACAACTCCCAGGCTGGTTTGCTCCGCTGGGACCAGGGGAGACTGCAGCTCACAGCAGGGATGAACATATTGATGAGGATGCATCCAACCCTAAGAATGGTACCAATCACACGGCAAGCCCTAAAAACGCTACTGCTCTCTTAGCCAAGGTGTCATTCAGAAGACTCAATAGGTCCTTGCACACAGGATGGATTCAAAAAGTAGTTTCTGCATAAATGAGCGAATTTCAGAAATCATGAGACAGTTACAAGAGCGCTGGCTTTGGAATCCAAAGGCCTGAAGTCAAGTCCCAGTTCCCCACCGGTGAGCAGGATCATGTTCAGTAAATCCCTTCACCTCTGAGTTTCATTTCCTTATCTGAACGGGCGTCATTAGAAGAATCACAGGAGAAAACACGCAAAAGCACTACTTAGCTGGTAGCGTCGGTAAGAGACGTGTCATCACTGAGTTCCCTATGCCACCCACACAGCTGTCATTCCTTACAGACATTTCCTGTCTCCTCTTGGCTGTCCTAGAAGTCCCAATCTTTGTCTAAGGGGAAATTTTTTGTCCACTCATCACGTCTTTCCAAAATACTCAACACATTCTGAATTCTCTAATACACCATCCTAAAAATGCAGCAGAAACCTTTGAAGTGGGACTTGAAGGCGACCCTGCACCACGCATTGTTCAGGACAATCATCCTCCTTCCCTCAGCACCCTGTGGGTCAGAGGCATCACGACCAGCTCCGGTCCATGTCCTGTACAGAGCTCCACACATGGTTTTAGAGGAGACAAACTTAACTCGGGTCTG